CAGCCTACCCGGACTCTGTGGGCTGCGGTCTAGGTAGGCTGCAGTCCTTGAATTGAGACACAGCCACGTGTCAAAAAAAACCAACTATTTTTTCATCGTACCATTCATTTGGTTTAAATACCTTTTATTAAGTTATTAGAGCCAAAGTGTTTAGTTTTTGGTTTGTTTGATGACATGAAGTGTTGAGCAGCTCCTCCTCTCATAAAAACCAGGACATAAAACAGTTCAATGAAGGTCTTTATGCTTCTTCTGGCTGTTCATAAATCACAGACGGAGCAGGACCACATCCCACAAAGACATGAGTTTTCAGAAATGGAGCCAGATTCACAGAACAAAAACAGGCGTGGAGCATCTTGTCATCATAGGTAAAATTGTTTTTTTTTTCCAGCTGCTCCCTTTTCAGGGACCTCTCATCAGATGCTGTTCCTGATGCAACCTGGGCCTGAAGGCAGCTTTACATCATATTTTTGGACTGTGGAAGGAAACCAGAGTGCCCAGAGAAAACACAAACATGAGAAGAACATGTGAACTCCACACAGAAAGACCCCAGGCCCAAACATTTGCCCTGAGGACCTGCTTGCTGTGAGGAAGCAGTGATAACCACAGATCCATTGCATCATCGCTGTCGTGATCTTAAATTTGTACATTTATTCATTCATTGTGGATACTCATTCATTCTGTGGTGTAGTTCTGTCTGAGGATTCCACATGATGGCTGTGTCTCAACTCATGGGTCGCAGCCGATGTAGACCACGGTCGACGTTGGCCACACCCTACGTGGGCCGTAGGCCGCTCATGTCGGCTGCACAAACGGCTGTGAAATGAGACGGTCCAGTTTACAGAAGACGTTTGTTTGTGTGAGCACACACTGCCTCCTTATCATGGTGATCCATTTTATTTCACATCGCTTCAGTTGTTGTTTCGAGGTATAACTTCATAAAATTCAGTTTTAGGAGAAAAGTAAATAAAACAAAAAGCATTAATGGTTTGGGTTTAAGCCCAGTATCAGTACTTGTAACTGCATTATATTTAACATCTCATTGAACAAAACATTCTTCAGTTTAGTTGTTTAACTTACATTTCTCAGTCCCTGATTATTTACCAAACTCACTCATTTAAAAGAAAAACTCCACTGTAAAATTCTAATAAAACCTCAGCCGTCTTTGTTTTTCTGTTTAATTTGCTGACAACGCAATGGATTCTGGGATACCGTTGGCCACGTAGGATACTCACATGCAGCCGATGTCTTCGGGAGTTTTGTCGACCACATTTGTAGGGGCCTACGATGAACAGTGGTAACATAAGCTGCCAACAAACAAGGTTGAAGTCGTTTGACGTCGGCTGCAACCCATGAATTGAGACACAGCCAATATCGCACTGTTAAAAAACTAAAACTCCCATCATGCAGCAGTCCTTTCAAAATAAATTTATTTAGATAAATAAATCCTGGTTGCTTTGCTCCTCAGTTTTGTTGTATTCTCATTTGAATGAAATTTTACAATGACTCATTTTTTGTAATTTGTGTAGGTCTTACACTTAACTACATGAATCTTACAGAAACTGTGTGACGTATTCTTACAGTATTATTTGAATACTGCGACACTGTGAAGCCTGGGTTTGGCTCACCATTATGGTACTGGTTCAGTTTAGGACGACTGGTCGACTAATCACGATTATGTCAACTATTAAAATTGTCAATGACAAATTTAATAGTCGATGCGTCGTTTTTTTTTATAACTTTGTATTTTTTATAGTCGATTAATCACTGATTTGTCAACTCTAAAAATAATAATTTGTGGCAGCCCTAATAGCCTATATGCCACGGTCATTAATGATGTATTTCCGGTAAAATTATTGCCATACTCCTCTCTTCCACTCCCTGCTTACTGCCTATGTTTTTAGCGTTAGCTGCTACTAGTCCATGAAAAAGTCACAAAAGTTGAAGCATTTGTGATCTACTGGTATAAAACATGAGTTCTGTTGTGTGCCGTTGTGTTCACTAAGCAGCAGGTACAATAGAGTCGTTAGTTTTTATCCTTTTTCCTCTTGATGAGGAGGTGACAGCTGTGGATCATAGCATTACAGGGAAAACTTATCTTTAAAAGCTCACGCTTGTGTTTGTAATCGGCATTTCTAACCTGAGGATATTCAAGAGCCAGCATCAGAAATGAGAAGATGGAGGTTACAAAAGGGAAATGTACATTTATCCCCTTTTACTGCCAAGACGAGAGAGGAAAGACCTCCTCCACACGACAACTAGCAGGAAGCTAACACAGCAGCTGGTACAAAGGTAGGTGTGTGCGCGTGTTTGTGTTATATGAAATGTTTTTATGCGACTTTGTCATGAGTTTCAGGCAAAAGTAAAACCTTGTTAGAGTGTATATTACAGCGTAGAATAAAGCCGAGCGACGAGCCCCCCATCCCCCCGAGCACCGAGAGCAGCAGAACCTCCACTAGGGCTGCCACAAACGATTATTTTAATAATCGATTAATCACCGATTATTTTTTCGATTAGTCGACTAATCAGATCATACGTTAATTGAATATAATACATAGAGCTTATCATGCCAGAATGCAGCTGCTATTATATAACCATGGTTATATTTTAGCTACATGCTAACTAAAAATAATTGCTGTGGAAGGTAAGTTCTGCTCTGCAGATATTGTACAGGTTTCTCTTTCRTTTTCTTAAAATGATCCCACACTTTGAGCTCCGTTGTCAGGTAGCCATGATACCAGAGCCTGTCTGTATAATGTCTTGTGACGTCCAGACAGAGAGAAAAACAAAGTAAAGAACAAAAAAAAAAAGAAAACGATTAATCAATTATTAAATTAGTCATTGATTATTTTAATAAATCAATTAGTCATCGATTAATCGATTAATTGTGGCAGCCCTAACCTCCACCTGATAATCATTACGTTTCCAGTTCACTAACGTTGGGGAAAACAATCCAAACCACACAAGTAGCCCATCAATTTAAAGCCCAGACTCTGCTCTTTCCAACAATATAAGTGTCACAGCTCTATGTGAAAAATTCACAGAACAAGCAGCCACGGAATAGTGAAAAAGGCTAAATTCTGGAACCATAAACATGAACGTCTTTCCTTTGTCTTTATGACTTTAATCCACTTTGGAGTGATTTTTTTCCACTTGTCTGGACCTGTTCGTCTCCTGTGTTAACGTTGGTACATGTAATATGCTAATTCTGTACTGTGGAGATCATTAAGAGTCGTTGTTGAGTGAAAAAATCTTTTGCTAACACTGTGTTGAATGTGAACTGGAAGTGTTGGGAGTGGCATCAAGTGCTGGACCGGATGTCCGTGGCATATAGGCTGTTACCACTACTGTGCATGTGTGTCAAGGACAAAACGCCAGTGGAAGGTGCTGAAGCAGTTTGGAGAGAAAAACAAAGTTAGAAAAAATAACACATCAACTATTAAATTAGTCGACAATAATCGTGACTAGTCGACTAATAGTGGCAGCCCTAGTCCAGTTATCCATCTCCTTTATCTGCTTCTCCAGTCCATCACAGAGACACATGGAGACTAGAGCTGCAACGATTAATCAACGACTAATCGATTATTAAAATAATCGATGACTAATTTAATAATCGATTAATCGTTTTCTTTTTTTTTGTTCTTTACTTTGTTCTTCACTTTGTTTTTCTCTCCAAACTGCTTTGACACATTCCACTGCCACATCTGCCTTTCTGTCCTTGACACACATGCACAGTAGTGGTAACTGGGGTAGGCCGTGGACGTCACAAGACATTATACAGACAGGCTCTGGTATCATGGCTACCTGACAACAGAGCTCAAAGTGTGGGATCATTTTAGAAAATGAAAGAGAAACCTGTGTAATATCTGCAGAGCAGAACTTGTCTTCCACAGCAATTATTTTTAGTTAGCATATAGCTAAAATCTAACCATGGTTATATAATAGCAGCTGCATTCTGGCGTGATAAGCTCTATGTTTTATATTAAATTAACATATGATCTGATTAGTCGACTAATCGAAAAAATAATCGGTGATTAATCGATTATAAAAATAATCGTTTGTGGCAGCTCTAATGGAGACAAACAACCATTCACCCTCTCACTCACAACTAGAGACAATTTAAAGTTACCAGTTCACCTAACATGTTTCTAGTCTACAGGAAACCAGAACACCCAGAGAAAACCCACTCGTGCACGGATTGAACAAGGAAAGTGCACCAATAAAAAGGTCCCAGGATGGGATGCAAGCCTCTACCAACTGAGCCACCTACCTAACTGCAGCATAAAACTTTTATTTTGCAGGAATTTAAATAAATTTAAAGTGCAGATCATCTAAACTGATTTCCTTGGCTGTTTTCTGACACAAGGAGGACTGGACTTTGTCGGGCAACCAGTTTGTGATGGTGACAGCAGCCTGTCACCTGTCCCATAATCCCCCAGGAGCCATGCTTGTGTGTGTCTGTGTGTGTGTGTGTGCGTGATCTGCTCCAGACAGCTGGCTTTTTAAAAAAAGTACATTCATCTGCAGCTCAGCTCTCAATCAGAGTGATGAGTGGAAAAAGCAAAGATGACAAAGACGCAAAGCAGAGCTGAAGCTGTGAGCGGCTCTCAGACCCACAACAATGTTTTCTTCAATAAGCGACACTTTTTAAAAAACCAAACAATGCATGGAGCTCATACAGAATAAAGTGAGCTCTTAAAGCAGCATTATACTGACCGAAAACAACACAAGCCTCAGCCGCCTGGAGTCGGCTTTTACTTCTCGGAAAACTAATCATTCACTTGGCTAGAAAACGTCCAGCTGATGTTTGTCAAACGTGAAGTTTTACTTGTGTTCGGCTCAGAGAGGCAGCCACTAACCTGGCTAGCTAACCCCGCTAACATGAACTGCCAGGTCGGCTACTGCCGCTGCGAAGCGTGAAAACTTTATAAATGTATATATCTAGATAAAAGCAAACAAAAGAAGAGTTAACACAGTTGAGTAAAATCCGTTTGTGTCCTTACCTTAGTTAGTGTAGGTGGGGAAGCCGGTGGTGTCCCTGCTCGGAGCTAACATTTCTTCCAGCTCAACTTCAACATGTGTTGAAAGTGGAGGACGTGTCTGCGGTCCGGCTGAGCTAACAGCTAGCCACCGGCTAATCAGCACCAGTCGCCTGGAGATGTCGCTATTATTGTTGTTGTTGATGCTTCTGTTATTTTTTATTGTATTATCGGACTTTTAAAGTTTATTTTGAAAAGATAAATTCAAGTCCGTATAGTTTTGTGGCTGAATCTCCTGGAGGGACACTAGGGGGC